TTCTCCCCATCTGGTTTCTCTGTTTCAGCCATCTGATCAACTTGGTGGCCTTCTGCTGAACTTACTCAAGCATATAAATATTTTTCATATACTAAGGGAGACAAAAACTGAGTGCACTATTCCAGATGTGGTTCAATGAGTCTGGAGTAAAGGTGAAAAAGTGTCTCCCTCAGTCCTCTGGCTGTGTTTGTGGTAGTATAGCACAATATGCTGGCAGTGACCATCTCCAAAACCATGATCTGAGTACACAGTTACAAAAATACAGTGTCTGCTTCCTACAGTTAAATAGCTTCTGGGACACTGTGTCCTCTACTGGATCACAAAGGTGAATCATCCCATTTCCCATGATTTAAAGTCAAATTAAAATTTGCCTTTTCAGTAATTTCAAGAAGGTTCTTCACACAGTATGTCAACACATTGCAGTGTTTTCCTATTCCTTGAGAGATAACATTATTTATTGTCAAGAATGTGCTTTATTAATTCTATGCTGTGACTAAGAGCTATATCCACTCTAGGGCACATATTAATGACCCATTAATATATTGCTCAGACCTTTAAAATTACTCAGCCTAATGTTTCTTGCCTTTCTGCACACCTGAGTTAATACATACCCTGGAGTGCTTTCTTGCTTAGTTACAGCACTCTCTGCTAAGGAAAACTGGGACTTGATTGCATCCATATATTAATCACAGTGTATGTTTACATAATATGACTTCACTTAATAGCGTAATGATGAAGAAGCCGGATGTACATGACTGTCTGGCTGGATGCCTGACTTAGGAAAAAAGGAAGGCTTTCTACAAACATCTTTAGATCTCTGCAGAGGGCCAAAGAAATCACAGAAATGCTGGAGATATTTTTTTTTAGATTGCACAATCTATCTTTCTTCATAAGATATGGGAATGCCTTACTGGATTATATATACATATCTCAGAGAGTGGTTTTTGTTACTCTCCTAAGTAGAAAATAATTTCTGCTTTTAATGAATTACATTAGAAGGAGAAGTGCTTAGTGTCAGGAACTCATGTAAAAGCACAATTAATCAGCCTGAGGTTTTTGGCTCCAGTAGGCAGCTCCTGTATGTTACTTCAGAGGGCTTCTTCCTTCTATTTAAGCTTTCTTTTGTTCTCCATCTGCAGGACTTCACAATGATTCAACTATTTTTTTTTTTCATCCAAGCATTTATTTATTTATAATTTCTGACAGGGATATGCCCTCTTGTTATTCAGGTAACAAATGGTGTTCAGTGTTTCTGAAGAAATTTCCAGCTGAATTACCATCACTCAGTCAAGAATCACTTCAGCTATATTTCAGGGTGTTCTTTTTGAATATTTACATTTTTCATGTTCTTATTGGGATAAGGAAGTAGGATCATTTACACAGAAAAATTCCAGTGAAGCATATAACATTGCTAAGGATAAATAAATCAATCAGTTGCATCTCTAAGCTTCAAGAGAAAATGACTTCTAAAGGTGACAGTTCTTTGGGGGAGTGCCCTGAAGGAAACAGCTAAAATTGACTCTGAGACTAAGACATGTTCACATCAACAAAACATGCAATGAGATATAAAGGCTTGGTGAACAGCAAACTAGTCAGGTGGTGTATATTTTTAATGTAGCCTATACCTCTTGGATTTGGCAGGTAGAGTGTTGTTCTGTAGAGCAACAGCAGCTGATTCACACTAAAGCACGAGACCACTGGAGTACAGGCAAGCCTGTTTCACCAGGGCTTTGCCTATTTTGCCTCTTTTGGCACTGTTAACAAACACAAACTGCTACCTACACCATTCTTTTAGCCCTGCTTGAAAGATGAGAGATAGTACAGACAATCTGCCTTGATGCTGACCTCCTTTTAATTTTGCTTTTTCTTGCCTGTTTCAGAGAAAATATCTAAACCCTTATGACCTGTTACCTTTGAAATGCTTAGTGATAACAAAACGTTCCTGTCTTGAGTGTCATTGATCATGCCTCCAAGGGTAATGGGAGCTAAGCCAGCCAGATTTGCTGCAGACAGTCCAAGAAACAGGGCTCAATGTTCTGATGATCAGCGGCAGTGGTTCAGGCAGAGAAAGAGCACACATACACATTTGTGCCTTGGAATAGTTGCTTTTGAGAGAACTCTACAGTAGAATCAAGATGTAGCCACCTCAGTAGAAGCAAGCTTTCTCTTTGAATTACAACTGGATAATATAAATGCTCAGATATTTGACAAAGGAAAAAAGGTTTAAAAACTAAACAAACAAACAAACAAAACCAAAACCAAACAAACAAAACCCAAACCAGTATGTGGTGTTTTGGTTTGATATAGTTTTACCTTTCCCAAAATGCACTGTAAGCATAGATATTTTAGATACAGATGAGTTTAAACACTTCCTAAGATTCCATCAAGGTAACAGATGTTAAAACTTCCAATTGTTACTAGGGTTAAAGTCTCTTCTTATGAAATGTTTTTTGTGGATGTCCTTGGGTGAAGGGTAAAAACCCCAGAATATCTGCAACCTGCACATGAAGTATGCATGCTGTACAGCCTCTTGGTGACCGTAATTACATCTTTGAACTACCTAGAGTTTCCCAGTCCCACGTTCTACAAAAACATCAATGGAGTAATTTATTCACAGTCATTGCCTTACACTTGCATGTGGCTCCTTTCTTCCAGAGTGGGAGAACATAGTGGACTACCCAGATGGAAGAGATAGAACTTTGTTCTTAGGAAATCAGAGGGAAGATGCTATTACGGTTTGAACACAAGAATGTGTGGAAGAAATCTTGCCATCTGTTGGCAGCTCCACTGCTGTGGGTGTGGGTGAATTTTTTTAAGTCAGGTGACTAATATGTTAATTGTTTCTGAATGAATACTGAGGTTTTCCAAGCTCTGCAACAAATGAACTCTCCATGGTGCAATACTTCCTCTCTGAGAGTCGCTTTGCTTTGAGTAAATCTCATGGCAAATTTCCATTCACTACTGGATAAAGCAGAGATTTTAAATTAGGTTACTGATGCAAATAATATCACAAATTTTAGATGTGCTATAAAGATTTATGGGAAAAGTGAAATCTCTGTTTTGCTGTATAGCATATTATACAGTACATAACACAAATATATTTATTTACAGTAAAAATACCTACCTCAGAGGATTTTTTTTTTTTTTGTAAAAATGCTATATCTTCTGGGATGGAATATGCAGAGGAAGCAGTAATAAACATTTCTACAAACATTACCAAAATTCTCTACCAATGTCCTGCTTTTTTTTCCTTTTTATTTTTGTTGCTTTAACTTGGAAATTTTACTATTTGTTGCTATTTACTTTGTAGCCTAGTCTTGTACGTGAGAGAAATATTTCTTTTTCCTCAGTTGTCCACAGGTTTCTCCTGCTAACACCAGAATATATATGCCTCTAAAAACTGGTATTTGGATGATGGTTACTAGATTACCATTCGTATTTCATTTTTCTAATGGGTGCATCTGTGTTAGCTAGTTCTGTCTTAATTTTACTTCACTGGTCAGTTCTACTTAATGCCAGAGTGTCCTCTGCTGTACGTAGCAAAAATAGCACTATGTTACAGGTTCTTTCATTTATGATGATCAAAAGGCATTGTATAAGTGACTCTGTAGGGATCTGTGCAGCTTCTCACTTAAATTTCTCTGTCAAAAGCATTTTTGCAAAATCCTTTCTCGTTCCCCCCAAACCACTCATGCAACAGATGATTTTGTAAATAGAATTCACATTAAGACCTCCTAACACTCCCACCTGGCCCTCATCGAAGATTTATGTCTAAAGAGAAGATTTCACTAAGAGCAAATATTAGAAAAATTGCCTAAACCAAATCCTCTGGCACACCTTCTCTGAATGTCAGACATGAAACAGGGAGAAAACTTTATAAGTTTTTAAAAAATTAAGCTGGGAGGAGTGGCTGATACCCCAGGGTGCTCTGCACTGCTTCAGAAGGACCTCAGCAGGCTGGAGAGATGGGAAGAGAGGAAACTTCCAAAATTCAACAAAGACAAGTGCAGGGTCCTGCACCTGGGGAAGAATAACCCCAGGCAGTACAGGCTGTGGGCTGACCTACTGCAAAGCAGCTCTGTAGAGAGCTCTGGGGGTCCTGGTGGACAACAAGCTGTCCGTGAGCCAGCTGTGTGCCCTGGGGGCCAAGAAGGCCAATGGTATCCTGGGGTGCATTAGCAAGAGCATTGCCAGCAGGTCGAGGGAGGTGATCCTGCCCCTCTGCTCTGCCCTGGTGAGGCCACATCTGGAGTTCTGTGTCCAGTCCTGGGCTCCTCAGCACAACAGACATGGAGTTCCTGGAGGAGGTCCAGTATAAGACTATGAAGATGATTAAAGGGACTGAAGCACCTCCCTTATGAGGAAAAGCTGATGGAACTTGGCCTGTTCAGCGTCGAGAAGAGACAACTTAGAAAGGACCTCATCAGTGTCTGTAAGTGTCTGAAGGGAGGGTGTCAAGAGGATACAGTCAGGCTCTTCTCAGTGATGTCGAGCAATGGGACAAAAGGCGACGGGTAGAAACTGATTCGCACGAAGTACCACTTGAATATGAGGAAGAACTTCTTTACTGTGAGGGTGACTGAACGCTGGAACAGGCTGCCCAGGGCGGCTGTGGAGTCTCCCTCTCTGGAGACATTCCAAACCCGCTAGGACGCGTTTTTTGTGCCACCTGCTCTGCGTGGCCCTGCCTTGGCAGCGGGGGTTGGCCTGGGTGATCTCCAGAGATCCCTTCCAACCCTAACGATCTTGTGATTCTTAACCTCCTCCGTGAAAGAAACCGGCAGGCCGGTGTTGCCTGGGGGGGGGGGAAGGGGCTTATTTGCATGTGCGTCTTTATGCTGTTTCCCAGGGCACGGTGTGGATAGATCCACCCTGGATAGGATGCCACAGGATCCCATCCCCTCCCGTCCCGTCCCGTCCCGTCCCGCCCCCGGGCAGTCCGGCCCCAGCCCCGCCCCCCCGCTGGGGCCCGGCGGAAGTGCGGGCGGGGGGCGGGGCCGCGCGGCTCCCTTGCGGCTCTGGGCCGCCGCCATTTTGTTGTCGCCCGGCGCCGCCGGCGGGACGGAAAGGGCCGGGAATTGCCGGGCGGCTCCTCCCCCGCCGGGCCCCAGAGGCGGGGACTGAGCGAGGCCCGGCCGGCACGGCACGGAACAGGACGGGGCGGCGGGGCCCAGCGCGGCGCAGCGATGTCGGCGTTCTCGGAGGCGGCGCTGGAGCGGAAGCTGTCGGAGCTGAGCAACTCGCAGCAGAGCGTGCAGACCCTGAGCCTGTGGCTCATCCACCACCGCAAGCACTCGGCGCTCATCGTCAGCGTGTGGGAGCGGGAGCTGCGCAAAGGTGAGGCCGGGGCCGGGCGGGCCCCGCCGGGGGCGGCGGGTGCGGGGCAGGAGGAGGAGGACTCGAAGGCGGCCGCCCCCCCTGCGGTGTGTGTGGCGGAGGAGGCCGGGGGATGGCGGCGGGGATGCCCGGCCTGTGGATGGCAGGGAGAGGGGGGAGGGCGGGCCCCAGCGCCTGGGGCCGGTGTTCAGCCCTGGGTCTCGGGTTTTTTGATGACCATCGGCTGAGAGGTGCTTCTCCTCTCTCTTTTTCGCTCCACTTCCCTCGCTCTTGTCTTTTCCGTCCTATTATCCCTTCCCTCCTCAGCGAGATGCCTCTGAGGAGGCTGCCCCTCATGTTTTGCATCCCTTTTTTCTTGTGGAAGGTGAGAGGAAGGTGGGAAACGGGATGGACGGGGTTTGGGGCATTTTGTTATTAATATAGATAATTACAGGTCTTCCAAGACGGAGCCTTTTAGGCATTGTCTTTCATCATGTCTAATGATGATGGTTAGCTGTTATACTATTTGAATTTCTTGTACACTCATGCCAGAAACTGTTCTTGTAGGGCAGCTGAAGATTGGAATACTTTGGAGGAAGAGCAGTTTAATGTGTCCAAAGTGGTTTTTACTTCGTCTTTTTGCCAGATGGCTACTACCAGTGTTAAAATAATAATAAAAATGTGGGTTTCTTTAGCTATGTTAAGTGTGCAGACTTAAATGCTTATAGGGCTTTCTTTTTAACAGGAAGAAACTTGCAGCTATAGGCAGTTGTTCAGGGACTGAAAGGGAGAAATGGCATGTGAAGGTTTATTTGACATGACTCAAAAATAGCTTTATCTTAAGTTAATTCGTTTAAGAAATAAAAACTCACTTGATAGAACTCTGCTTTGCTCTAGGAAATGTTGCTGTCTTCCAATAGCTTCCTTTGGAGCCTCGCTATTATGTGGATCTTTAATGGAAAAAGTAGAAGACTAGGCTTTCAATTGGAGAGGAAAAATAGCACTAAGCCATTACAGGACTTATGGAAGACGAACTTCTGAGTTTCATGTAACATGGCTACTGTGGGTTTTTTTGGTTGGGTTTTTTTTTTTTTTTTTTTTTAATATTTTTTTTTGTGTGAAATGTTATCTTTTGAACTTTCAGGCAAGAGTTGAATTCCTTTTTACTATTGCCCGAAGAAAGGCTTACTTGATGTTTTTCATCTTATGAAATAAACACATATTCACTATATGTTAGTTGCAAACTTGCTTTCTTGTTCCTGGAACGAGTTAGTGGATCTCCCATCTGTATCTGAAACATTCACATTTCTGGGCCTTCTAATCTATCAACTTGAATGTTTGGGGTGGTGTATGATACCAGGAAGGCATCTTAAACTAATTGAAATAGAGTCAGAGTTTTGGTTGCTCGTCTTAATTAATGTGTACAATACTAGTACATAATAATCCAAGGTGTTAATGGTCAGTCCTTAACCTTAATTTTCCTGTTGTACTGTTTGACTCATTGGAGAGATGAAGTCTTTGAAACATGGGCTATGTCTCTGAAGGTGGCATTGAGAGGCAAGGATAACCATCTTCTTAAGAAGTCAGAGGAACGTTTTGCTTTTTCTCAGCTTTCAGTGTCTGACTTCCACTTCTAAGCTTGTTTTGAGCTTTGGATGAGCATAGCTACCATAATTGGTTTTGTCTTGAGTTTGTTGAAGCTGTTGTACAGCTTTGAAGCTAACGTAGTTAATATGCACAGGATGTATTTTAGTTTTTCATCTCTGATAACAGTACCTGAGTTTTAAAAACGTTAGCTTGCCTTCACCCAATACTGACTTTTTGCTAATTGCATCACAGAATTGCAAGATGGTCCCTAATCCCCACAGGGTGGGTGTAGTCTAAGTGGACAGCATGTGAAGGATGAGAAGGAGAACCAGTGTACTGTGATGAAGTGAAGTGCATAAACATCACAAAGCAGAATGCTAGCAATGAGGCTGTAGAGTAAGTTTAAGGCTCCTGACTTGCCTCCCATCCAAACTGTATAAACACGATTCCTCTCCTACCTGAGAGGAAAATTACCTCTATTTGGAGAATATGGACGCAAAAATTACTGGCGTTGTCAGCTGCTATTACTAGCCAGCAGTGTACTAGAACTGAAAATTGTACCTTGCCTTTCTAAATTTTATTTCCTTTCATTGTATATCTTTTTTTACTGTCACCCTTGTCTCCAGACCTCCTTTCCAGCTTACTCCCTTTTAGGCTTATGGAACACGGTATAACTAACTGGGCTGAACACAATGTAGTGTGATGTTTCATTTTTTCTGGATGCTTTCAGTTTGGGTAAAACATCACTTGCGTCAGATGAGCTTGCATGAACCTTTCTGAACATGTCTCTAGTGATTCATGAAAACGAGTGCAAGGATTGCAACTCTTTTGTTCCTAAATGTTTGGTTCTGATTATTTTATTTTTAAAATAGTCATTGTCTATATACCATATTGGAGTAGAGGTGAAGAGGCAGCTTTTCAAAGGCACACATAATTTACACAACATAAAGGCTTAGTGCCCTTCTGTTTGCTTGGATTAATTGGTAGAAGTCAGGTCCCATATTCTGGTTTCTCTAGAGATCATCGGTTCCATACACATTCACTTACAGGTTTTCTTGAAAAGTGTGTACTGAGGAAAATGATCCTGCTTTGGCTACATTTCAGATGTATGTGAAATGTAACACTTGAAGTTAAATAGTTAATTACTTGGTAGGCATAAGCTTTTTCAGTATTTAAGTAGTTAAGTAGTACTAAGTAAATAACTTGTGAATACATCAGTCATTCCGAACATGCAGCTGGTGGGCCCATTTAAACTATGTAATTTTGTGTATCTTTAAAGGGACTGACTTACTGGTTTGAGTTTTTAAACTGAGTAGTGGTATAACACATAAAAATTTGTTGTGTAAACCTGCAGTCAGTAAGTGACTACTGGAAAACCCCCTAGGAACACCTTTGAATAGGCTTTTCTGAGATGGAGTCTGTTGAGAATTATTTTTTGTTACTTGCAAATCCGGTATGTTCTCTTGCGTGCATCTCTTGCTGCCTGGTTTCAGAATTCTCTGAAACGCTAGGGATTTTTTACTTGTTTGTTTGTTTTGTTTTGAAAAGAAAAAATTCAGTTCCATAATTCAAAGCATCAGCCTTCAAGGGTGAACAATAAGTGCTTGTTCAGTAGGCTTAGTGTGCAATTTGCAGTACTGGAGTACTTGAGTTCTTTTTCAAAGGGAAAAAAACCCCAAACTTGCTGAAAGTTTGTTATATAGGAGTTATTATTTTAAGCTCCAGTTAGTTGTCTGTAATAATCGTTTCCTGTCATCTCATTTTCTGTTAGCTTTTCCAGGTCGAGCTGTCACTTTTTAGGTATTTATGTCCTAATGATATTTTAATAATCACAGAATATTCTGAGTTGGAAGGGACCCACAAGGATCATCAAGTCCAGCTCTTGGCTCTGCACAGGACATGATCGTGTTGTATCTTTAAACCTAATTTCAGTTCAAGTATCTGTTTCCTCAGAGCCCGACATGGCATCTCATTGATTAGTCAGTCTCAGAAACTGATGCTGATCATCCCCCACCCCCCTTAATCACTTGCCCTCTTGTTTTGGCTGTCATCTGTCACCCCACCCGTGACACACTGATCACTGTCTTCCCTGCACAGCTTATCTAGATTAGCAGCTTTAAGACAACCACAATTGTGTAAGTACATCTGTGCTGCTACGGAGGGATGGACGTATTTTTTTAGTGCTCGACTCTGATAGTTTACCTGCTGTTTCAGTTAATATGCTTTTCTTTTTTCTTTACCCCCCCCCCTTGTTTTTGTGGTGTTGAAGTCATTCAGTGGTATGAGAAGCTACTATTCTTTGCTTATTTATGGTTGTTTGTCTGCAAATTTTGGTGCTGGGACATACACTGATGTTTTGGTCCTCGCTCAGTATAGCTGTTGGCATTGATGCAATATGTTTTCCTGTAGTGGCTGTTGTGGCAGCTGCTGAAATTTGGAAGATAGAGGATTTTAGAAGACAAACTGAGAAGACCTAGCAACACTGAAAGCAGATTTGAAGCTTGTATTGCGTCTGAATTACTCTGAGACTCAAGTCAACTACTTTGAAGCACAACTACAGCCAAAACTGATTGCAGTATATTGCCTTGCAGATGGGAAGTAGATCACAGGAAATAAGTTCCTGATTTAAAGCAATTATTTTCTGTACTATGTAGTGTAGCTTTGGCTGCCAGAAGAAGTAATCTCTCTGTACTGGTGATTGTAAGGATATTTTACTTAATGATGTTATAGTGTCATTGGCCCATGTGAGAGAATAAATAGACTTTGTTTTATTTAAAAGAAAGAAAACTGCGGCTACGTGACTTCACTGGTTAGTAGGTATTCTTGAGGAGACCAGTAAGAATTCTTAAAACAGAGGTGCTTGTGGGTGCCTTCATACTTATCCATGTGGATTTTCTCATCTATGCCAAAAGGTTTGGAGATCATCAAATAACAGGCAAAACTTCAGGTGAATTGGAGTAGTTGAGTCAGGTTAGAGAAACATATTTGCTACACACATGATTTAAAAAATGACTTAAAGTTAGGAGCAACAGAGTAGCAATATAAGAGTATAAATATTTAAAATAGTTGTATTTGGATAGTGTAATCCAAATCTGTAATAAGTTAGTGCTGTATCTCTTGAGACCTTGTATTTTATCTGTACCTACCTGTCTCTTATCATTCTGATTCTGAAATCTTAAGTGTAGTGTCTTTTTCCTGTCCTGAAACAGTTATTGCTGTTAATTCATATCCATCTTGGCATTGTACCAGCCAGGCGAGCCAGTAAAAGAAATTTGTTTGTTTCATGTGTTCAGGTAATTCAAGATACACTAAGTGCAGTGGGAAGCTTCTGCAGAGTAATTATGTTGGAATGGTTTCCTTGGTCTGGGACCAGCTTTCTGCATCCCCTGGTAATTTGATGCTGATGGCCTTTGTCCCAGAAGTGGCTGTATGCTGCGTTCCCTTTGTTATTGGCCTCCAAACTCAAAATACTTGGACCCTCAAACATTGAGCACATCAGTGGGCAGTCCCATTACCCTCTTTGAAAAGAAAACACAGCAGTTATCAAACCTTGGTAAAATTTACCAGGATCATCAGGTGACTGCAATGTTGAAGACATGGTTTAACTTCTTCTTAAAAGAAGGTTAATGAATTTTAAGTGCTCATTGTACAACATGCCTTTTATGGATTATATTACCTTTGAATTGTCCTTTCTGGTGGCAGCCTCTCAAGTGCTTTTTACAGTCATGTTACAAAAAATGCTGCTCTTCATCAGCTTGCATAAAAACTCGGGTTAACTCTCCTCAGTGTGAAGGGTCAGTGATCTTACCCTCAAGCTTCAGTGCTGCTTGACCTGAAGATGTTTGGTTGTGTAATGAAAAGCTTGAAAGCTTGTTGGGTGTTTACAGAATGTCGTGAACTTCTCCTGCAGAGGTGTGAAGTGTGCTGTGAGACAGGAAGTGTCCTAGAGATGCTAGAAGTGCTGACACTCTCCTGCATGTATGTAGAGTAAAGTAATTCTAAAGCAATTAAACCAAATCTTTATTTGAATCCATATTACATAACTTTAGTATACTGCACAGATCTTCTGAAAAGATGACTCAATCCAATGTGGATGGTTTCTTAGAAGTTTTGTATTTCCTCACCGCACTGTTAGTGTACCAGAGGTACTCTGGGCTGGCTACTTCTAACACTATAACAGTCTCGCAGTATGTGCCTTTCAGCTCCTTCTTCAACCTAAGTTCTTACGGTTTTTTCCCTTCATTTTCTTCTCACAGTAAGGCTAATAGCCTTGCCACGTGTTGAGGACACTTAAAATGTTGTTCTGAGATTTATCAAAGCCCTGGGCTGGAAAGTTCACTACTAGTGAAGAGAGATGCTTTTAACATATTTTTTTTCCCCAGAATAGATCTATATGGTCCTGAAATCAGTTTTGTATTTCAGAGTAGTTAATTTACAGTCATAGTAGAATGCTTTTCAGCTTAAATTTGTCAGCTTCAGTTGCCAGAAGTTACATTGCACTTTAGTCTCATGGGTAAGGCAGGGTGCTAGTAGATCAGTATGTAAGTCTTGAAGATTTCTGAAATGAAAGGGAACCATTCTCCAGACTAGGCATAATTTTCAGCATTGGAATTTTGTGCACCACATTCTTACAGCAAGAGGAATTCAATTTTATTTCGCAATTTTCTTTGTGAACATTAAGGTACAGTATTGGCTGAACTTTTAACCAAAGCCACGGGTAGCTTAATAGTGGGTTTGGATTTTTGTTCCTTATATGCATCTTTGTTTATGTTGAATTGTAATAGCAAGCTGGAAAGGTAGTACTAGGTGAAATAAGCCCCAAAGTGACTTTCTGGGTTTTCACTTGCTTTTTCCAAACCTGATACGTGGATCTCTTTACTGGACTGAATAGATAAAGTCTAGGTTTTGTGAGAATAAGCCCTACCTGACTTTATCAGTGTGCATGCATCTCCTCTCTTTGCCAGCCCAGTTGATTTGGCTGTTTGTTGGAAAGAGGAAAGCTGAGGTTTTTCACAAATGAGTTACATCACTGAGGATTAAAACATGACGACTTTTTTTCTGTAAAATGTATGGACAATCTTGTGTGCAGTTCCAGAGGATATAGTGTGTCAAGTGGCCTGCTTCATTAGATTTTGAGTCATAATTCTGGGTTCACTTAAAGAAGTGGGGAGGGGTTCAGAGTCATCTTCAGTAAGTGCTAGTTACTTTTTAGTATACCTGTGAGACAATATGTGTTTTCTAAGATTCTCTCTTTAAATAATTCAAAGCTTTCTATGCGTCAGAACTTTGATTTACCTGAAACTTAGGTAGAAGATGTGTTGTTGTATCAGCATTCAGGTTTTAATATAGAAATTGAGTAGCACAATTTTATAAAATCTACATTTTAGATTAACCAGATTTTGTCCCAAGTAGATTTATTTCCTGTAGTGACTTCACTGTTTGGAGTAGACTTTTAATAGATCCACCTTGTGTCCAGCACTTCCAAGCTAATTCTTTTTTTGCCACTCTTTAGTTTACCTTGACTGTAAGAGGTAGGTGCATTTTTACATTTAACAGAGGGGTTTTTTTTCCCCACTTAATCCAGAACTCTCAACTTGTTAGACATGACTGTCCAAGAGGATGGGAAAAATTCAGTACTTTAAGAAGAAATCCTTCAAAAGAGTCTTTCTGTAGTGCAAAATTTATTCTCAAAAACATTTCCCTGGAGTGAAGGCATATCAACACTGAATTTTCTCGTTGTATGTGAGGGTGGTGGTTCTGCATTTTTGAGATTCTGGAATAAAAATTAACAAAATCAAATCATACTGTGGACTAAGCATGAATTATAGGAAATCCTAGACTGGCTTTACTACAGTAAAGCCCTTGAGAGGGCCGTAAAAACTTGTCTTTCGAAAGAAACCTCTTTTTAAAATCAAGGTGTACATAATGAGGCTGGTGATAATGTGGTGGTAATGATATTCTGGTGTTACCCAAGGATAGAACTGTTACTGTAGGAGTTTCTGCTCCAAGAAACTTGTAGACTGCTGAAGATAAGATGAAGTATGATTGTAAATGAAAATACCCAGGTAGGAACACATAAAAAACATGGAATAGATTTTCAAAAGCAACTTGTAAATTGCAAGCTTGTAATCTATTGCACATTAATGGAGAGGAGGTAGAATGCTTAAGATGCTTGGAGAAGGGTTACACTGAGGAGCCTGAGAGTGGCTTTTGAATGTTTTCTTGATATTATGGCTACCAGCATGTGAGTGTTTTAACAATTAGGAGATGAGGGAGGGAAGTATCACAGTGATAACAATGAGACCGACTACGGGTTGACTGTTCAGTTTGCTCAAATGCAGGAATGAGAAGCGGGTATGTAAGACTGGTGAAATTCAAACTGAAAAGGAGGAGGTTCTTCACAGGAGTGAATGACTGTGGATCTGTGAAGTGCCTTGTGAGAGGACTTCATGAGTATAAGAGCCTATATGCAGGCTCAAAGGAAAGCTGAAGAAATAAATCCATGAGGGCTACCTAACAGACAAATCACATAAGACTCAGGAAAACGTCTGAAAATATTTGAGGTCTGAAGGACACTTTGGAATATCTGGGGTTTTTCCTGTTTCTTTTCAAAGATGATGCTAAAGGGAAGTTTTCGTACTATGAAGAGGAATTTGAACAAAGAGAGCAGAAGGGAGAGAAAACCCAATGGGTGACTGGAGTCTTTCCACATGAAAATGTTGAAAATGTGAAATTATTGTAAGCAGTAATGAAAACAGAAAAAATATATTTTATTTCAGAGTGGGGGAGGTCCGGGGGTGGGTGTTTGTATTCAGTATAAATGTGGATAAAGAGGTATTAGTTAAAGGAAGTAAAATTTCTAATTACTCTTTATTATTCTTTTTATTAGCAAAACCAAATAGGAAGCTGACATTCCTGTACTTGGCCAATGATGTCATACAGAACAGCAAAAGGAAAGGACCAGAATTTACAAAAGACTTTGCTCCAGTAATAGTGGAGGCTTTTAAGCATGTTTCAAGGTACAGTAAATTTGTATGTGCAGTGTCCTTCCTCATACTGTATTTGAGAAGTCCTCAGTTGATCTCTTCTGGCCCAGCTAGTCCTTGTGTGCTGTTTCTGTACTTGAGGTCTTGCTAATTTATTTATTCAGTGTTCTTTTGATCTTGGAGAGTCTTAATGCTGTTGGATGAAGTTTCATAGTAAATTCATCAGCATTCAGTCCATTTTGCTCTGGAAAGCTGTTAGCTATTCCTGAAAGTAAGGCTTGCTTTCAGTCTGTGTTTATGTGCTGCAACAGTTTCATATTTTTCATTACTGGTGTTGCATGATTTGTTTTTCCTCAGCAACCATTAATCTCATTGCATGAGGAAGGTGTAGAGGCTTGATACAGGATTATATTCACAATGATACAGAGCTGTTGAAGCAACACAAACCTATTTGCAGTGTTTGCTTAATAGGGTTACAGACCTACAGATTTATGGGTTGAGCAAGAAAACAGAAAGAGTTCGGCATTGGCCCTTTTATATTTGTATGCTTGCTAAGACACCATGAACTGGCATTTACTTTTTTTCTTTAAAATGTGATTTTGTTATTTTCTGAGATTATTTGACTTCTGATGCTTGGATATTGCCAAGGTATGCAAAGGTTTTTCTGTGAAAAATAAGCATATAGAAACACTGTACTTCTACCTAGTGCTGATACTTGCTTTTTACTCCTGTAACAGTGAGTCTGATGAGAGTTGTAAGAAACACCTTGGCCGAGTGCTGTCTATTTGGGAAGAAAGGTCTGTTTATGAAAATGATGTATTAGAACAACTTAGGCAAGCTTTGTGTAAGTATTTTATATGTGTATCAAGGTTCAGTCTCTTGTTTGAAATACTATTTCCCTGACTGCTCTGTTTGCTTTCATTTAGATGGAGACAGAAAGGTGAGGAAGCGCACATATGAACAGATAAAAGTTGATGAAAATAACTGTTCACCTCGAAGTTCTCCCACTGATCCCCCTCAGGTAAAAACGTGTTTAGAAAATTCTGTATTTACATATGATTTCATATAGAGTTTTTCAGTCACTTCTGTTTTTGAATGGTCTCTGTTTTTCTTTTTTATGAGGTGCTGTTTCTGTGCAAGAGTGACTACACCTGAAACTTTTCACAGTATTTCAGGTTACAAGCATGTTGTAACTTTAGTCATTTAACACTAAACCTGAATGTAAGAACTGTATGTCCAGCATTGCTCACATCAGGATTTCAGCATTAGTTTCTACAGTGTTTTACATTCTCATTCAGTTTCCAGGGTAGTAATCAGTAACCCATGTAAGATTGTTATGGATTTATCAGTAAAATATTCCTCAGTGTTGCAATCATGATGGTAGGGATAAATTGTCTACCTTGCATTGTTATAGCTTTTCTAATCCTTGTGGGTTTTTTGTTAGGTATTGAGATAGGTATTGCCCTATCTCAGAAGGCTTTTTGTTATGGCCAGGAATGACTGTCCTCAAATAATCACAATTTAGTGTGTTTCTCTGTAACAGACATCTGGGTTTCTATGAACATGAGCTCTACTTTCAAAAGAAACACACTTATCTAGTCTGATGCTATAGTGAAGCAAAATGACAAGAAAAATGATGTAAAAAATCTGTAGTAAAATGAAAGGTATTGTAAAATATTCACTACCAAGAATAAAAGATATATAAGTAACCTTTATATACCAAGAATTTAAATGAAAAAATCTACTGGTGGAAGGTGACTTTTTAAAAAACTACGAATACTGCAATATTTTCCTGAGAATGAAAGGTTTGGTTTCATTTTCAGTCTAAAGGCTGATGCTGTAAATGCTGTTGAAATTGCCATCAGATCAATTCCAAAAGCTTATTGTAAGATACTGTTTTGTTCTAGGATCTGTTTACTTAAAGTACTTCTCCGTCTTGCATGCTTTTTTCAGACTACAGATCTCATTAGAGCATTACAAGAACTAGAAAACGCTGCCTCTGGGGATGCAGCAGTTCATCAGAGAATAGCCTCTCTGCCTATAGAGGTCCAGGATGTGTCCCTGTTAGACAGAATAACAGGTGAGGGTTGGGGACCCAGTAACTGAAATGCTGTTCTGAGAACTTAATGGCGTGTGATGAAATCATGCTTTACTTGTTTTTCTCTGCTTGCTTTTTAGATAAGGAATCTGGAGAGCAACTTTCCAAAATGGTAGATGATGCATGTATGTTGCTGGCGGATTACAATGGCAGGTTGGCAGCTGAAATAGATGATAGAAAACAGCTGACTCGAATGTTATCAGACTTTCTCCGATGTCAAAAAGAATTCCTTGCAGAGAAAGAACATAAGCTGGAAGTGCGTAATGTTTTGTTTTAGTCCATTCTTCACTAAAGCTTGTTCTTGCAAATGTTTTTAGTTAGCCTAAAAAACTGTTATCTCCAAAGACAAATATTTAATTGCCACTGTTACGTCTTTGCTTCCAGCACATTATTAACATTTTGTTTGATTCTGGTGTTCTCAACCTGTTAAACCAGCTCTTTGGTTTTTTAGCTATTCAGTCTTTGTTACGTGTACAGACTTAGTTTTAGTAGTGCAGATAAAAAGCCTTACCCTGAGTGTTACAAACGTAATTCCTCACAGAGTAATATTTTTTCGTGCTCTTTTCATTCCTTGTTGTAAGTCTTAGTTACGTATTTGCTAAAGGAGAAGAATTTAATCACTGGTTTCAGCACAACTTTTTAACCAGACTCAAGCATCCATTAAACCCAGTAAAATGTAGTTTTAGCATTTACAGCCTCTAATATGGCTGCTTAGCAGCACTAGCACCATTAGGACCAGACAGATCATAATAAAAGAAGGATGCAGAGTCAGCAGCTCATCATGAGCAAATGATCCCCTAAGTTATTGTGTTCTTTGCTGTTCCCAGTCATCTGTTTTCCTTTCCTGCCATATAATACTGTAAAGCCTCCTGTTGAACATCCCACATATTTAGAATATATCCATAATTTTTTGTCAATTGCTTCCCAGGGTAACTTGGGTATTACAGTAATAGAACTGAAGCTGCATCATTTTTCAAGAGGAGATATCTGAACAATTGCAGTACCCTGTAACTGTAGCATATGCATATATGGTGCCCAAATTAATTACTCTTGAGGTTTCATCATACAGGCCTGTCAGGAACATTTTCTTAATGGTTTTTTTTTTTTACTTTTTTATAACTTGAGTTTAGATTTTGTGGTGCCTTTGTTCAGGAAAATGCTGTTCACAATGTGTTTGAAGTCATCATTCAGATTAGTTGTATCATTCCCACTCTACTCTGATTTCCTGACTCACTTTCCTCTATGCCTCACAGAAAAGCAATTGATGAAGGTTCTTCCTGTCAACTTTACTGTGTTTATCCTGTGGGAGGAATATCAACCAACTTCATGTAAGATAGGTGGTATCACAGTAGTTCTGATTGCAATAGCAACTGACCCAACTGGATAATGGAACCTGGAAGATTAAAGAGCAGGAAGCCTTAAGCTTTTCATCACATGCCCTACCTTCCTTCTGACTGTGTGTAATGGGTTTGAAAGACAAATTCCCACAGTTTCAGTGAAGGACTGGTTGTCTGGGGACACTGACTTGTTCCTGTAGCTCACTACTAGCAATTATTCCCTGTTTAGATATAGTAGACCACTGGGATAGTGAGTTGCTCAAAAGGCAGTGACTTGGTCTTTCAGACAGATTTATAATTCTGTGAAAACAAGAGAGCTCAACTAAAAAGAAATCACAAATGGTAGTGCAACTGTGAACAGATTCCGCCCTTGTTGGTTGTTTTCAACAAATATAAACCAGTTTAATTTCCCAGTATTACTAGATCAGAGAATTCATAATTTTAAGAGAAAGCAATTGCATATTACTGGGCTGTCATCATCCTTAAAACCAGGTTTCTTGACTGAATTATTTAAACTGCTAAAGGATTTCATTCTAATACAGCACAGTTCCTTTTCTGGACTAGTTTGAGGTCTTTCTTTAAAAAGTAGGAGACAGTCTTCAGTAACTGTAGCAGTCTGTTTTAAACAGATGAAGTCCTAGGATGTTAAAGTATACTGTAAGAATGTGTTTAGGCTGATCAGTGGGGTATACATGTGAGGTACTAATAAAGAACTATGAGCCGAGACGGTGTCAACCAAGGTTACTAGTAAAGGTGGATGAGCCAAAAGATTGTAAAGAACAACAACCTTACAATGAAGTTTCTAAACTACTGTTAAGATAAATGAAGTGACCTCATGCTCACTACTAGTAGTGCTTTTTGGTTTGAGAAATGGAGGCTGATAAACATTCTGAAGTTTTGAAATGTAAGATTAGGATGTTTTCATTATACTGTCTGCAGAGCCTTCTGACTTAGCTCATGTGTTTTGTTTTTAGTTACTAAGAAATGGAGATGAAGCAAGGATTCTGTCTTTTACCGTCTTGGGAAATTCCATACCTCAAATTGAGCCTTGCTTCTTGGCTTCATACTTGAAATAGCACTGGGAAAGGGGCCTATCACTTAATTCTTTGAGAATCTATTTCCCTGAACTGTGTTCCTGGGTTTTGCTGCTCAGGTTTGATTTCTGGTGAAATTAATTTGTTCTAGACAAGATTGGTTTTTTTATTACTTCTGGCTATTGACATTTTTCTTAGTGTAACACGGTCTCTGGGTGATAACATATTGAGTCTTTGTTTCTTCCTGAATTAGTATCACCAATCTGTGAGTGTAATGCTGAGATCCTAGCTTACTGATTTGTAAAACACCCAGGTATGGCAAGAAACACGAGGATGAATCTAGAAATGTTACTTGCTGTTGACCTGGTTTAACAGTGATAGAATTAGAATTCTCATTAGCTTTCAACTTTAGATGGGAACTTTAGACCTAAATTTGGGAACTTAAGACCTGAATTTGCAGATCTTTTATCTTCTAAAGATGATTTACAGGTAAGTAATTTTGAATAACCAATCTTTCCGTGAGTAGTTTTTTAAGAATGATTTTCTCTAATTGTTATTTCTGAAACAGAAGCGCATGATTCCCATCAAAATCAAGGTAATGTATGCATTAAATCTTGAAAGGAGGTTTTGGTAACAAATAATACCATATCTGCATCAAAAGCTAACAGTACTGCTTAGTAGGTGACTTTCCTAAGTCTGTTCAGGGTAAGTAGTGTCATCTTTAACTCTTAAATTGTTTTCTTTAACGTCTTTCTAGCTTCTGTTGCAGGTGGTGGACATGGACCTATCTTCTAATGATGTCACCGTCCATTAGTACACACATCCTGCTAAAAATAAATCTAAGAATCAAAATCTTGTATTGTCTGTTGTTTTTGAAAACTTGAAGAGGAGGAATTCTCTAACTACTCATACCAAACCTCTGCTATTTTCATCTGTATTCTCACAAACATTACTGAGTTTATGCCTGAGATGGATAAATATTTATCCAGTGTCATTCCTTTTTCTTGAAGACTAAATCTTTCACATGGTTGTTCTTAAAACTCCCAGGTCCTTTTGATGAAGTCATTTGAAATTTGCAATGGAGAAGTTTGGGGGTCACTTGCATTGAAGCTGCCATTATCAAAGAGAGAGAACTGTGAAAATAAGACTTTTCAGACTTTCACTTACACTCTAGCTATTGGGTTTACATTATCAGAAATGAGAAGTGATGAATGTAGGGCTTGTCGTTTGCAAACACAATAAAAAATTTTATTAGGTAGCAGAGAATGTGTGTTTTATAATTGCACTTATGCCCCTTTGGAAGCCTCCTCAAATTTCAGATCATCCTAAAGAGTATTTTCACTTCTGTAAGTTTTAACTTAGTATGAATATTTGAGGTTCAGGGTACTGTAGCTCTGTCTAGAGTTTCTAGCTAGATGTGATTCTGTCAATTAGAGAAAATAGAAATTTTTGCAGAAATAATTTTCTGGAACCATTTCTTTATGAAAACTTTGAGCGCTAATACCATTTCAAGTTTTCTGCTATTTTGGTTGACTGTTCCCACTCTGCTTCCTTGTTATATACCCGTCCTAACTCCCTGCCCATTCCCTACTTTTTGAACAGAAGTGTTGGTTGGTCTGTTGGTCTCACTGAAGGCTGATTTTTATGTTTTACAGGAAGAGAGAATTGGGTATACATAAATTGATATCCAGGGGTGTTCATGTCCTTTTGATAAGACTGTCCTGTAGACGTTCTAAGGTTAACATGGCCTTAAAAATAAAATGAACAAGAGAAGTATTTGATTTACTATTCTCTCGTGTTACTTTGCTTTTGCCTCGTCCACAGACTGATTACAGGGTAAATAATCTCTTACCACATTTCAAATAAAGGATCTGATAGTCTGAAATCTTACATGACTTATTAACAAGTGTGAGCAGGAGGTCTTGCAACCTTTTTCTAGAAAAAGAAGACAGCCTCTCACGTTCATTTTGACATTACAGAAAAATGAAGCATTGCTACACTTAGTGTATACTGGATGACCCAGTTTCTTACATACTGTTTCTGTCAACTTACCACTTAATATTGGGGAATATTTTTCCAAATTTTTATTAAGGAAATGCTACTCTGGGAAGTAAAACACTGCTGTGTTTTAATGGCTTGCATTTAATTAAGACACTTTTATTGATGATGTCACTGTCTTGCATTCCTGATTTTCTACAGCTGTATAAACAACATTCATATTCTTACATTCACACATCTGGTTATAATTGTGGTTTCTTAGCATGTTGAGAGAATACTATATGATCAATACACTTTTATTATATGACTAAGCTTTATGGCTCAATATAGTTTGACTTGTCTTCCTAAAGATTTTGTCATGGATTCTTAAGGGTAAATAGCAAAAAGTTATTCACTGTTGTCTGTAGCTCTGGACTCAAAGGCCTTTTTTTTTTTCCTGCTCAGTTCACAATTAATGGTTCAAAATGTAGGCAAAAATGTTAAGCAAACAATTTAGGGGTGGCAGTGGTATAACAGGCCTCTTGTCCTTAGGTTTTGTTTCGCAGTACAAGACTGGATTGGTACTATTGTCCACTGTTGCCCTCCACCATGGCCTTAATGAATCACACGGTGTAGTGCTTTCCTTGCTATTTTTGTTTTCTTTATACCCCTTGTACTTCACTAGAACCTTTCTTTGTCAACTTCTTTCGTTCAGTGACAGATTACTTAGGGTAGTATATTTTATCATGCTTCGTACTTTTCAGGTCCACTTAAAATAATTCATCATAACCTTGCAGCTGAGCAGCTAAAGTGTTGTTCTGAGCTTTGGTTCAAGTCAAAAATTGATTTGTAGCATGAGCCCTACACTGCCCTTTGTTAGGGGATAGAGTTTACACCATTGTAGATGA